AGATAACCAATATTGATGATGTCACGAAATATTTTGGCATAATTTTCAAATTTCGAGTAAAATTTGAAAAAAAATCTAGACGAGTTTGTTATGATAATATGTGATTTATGAATTTACAGAGTGGATAATTTATATAAAAATGGGTGATATTTGACTGAGAAAGAAAATTTTGGGATTTAATTTTATATTAGATATATTTAGTCATGTTAAACCAAGCATATTATTGCATTTATTTATATTACTAATAAAGTATTATTTTGTTAAGGCTAAGGGGCAACGTGATTAATCGATCAACGGATCGCAACACTACTTGGTTGTAAATTTAATTATTCATCTAGTCTTTGATTAAATTGCAGTATTAATTAAGATTCTTTTCTATTAATTTGCCGTGTAAAATTATAAAGAGCAAAGTTGATAAATTAACTTCAAAATTTTATAAATTTTCATTATGGTAATTTTTTGATATTTCTACCGACATTTCTACAACAAATTAGAAGTAGTAATCGTAACGTTTTCGGCGATAACTGGATCTTTGTATTTATTAATTATTTCAGGAGTTTTGAGTATCCACTTTATAGAAGTGGTTACACTTGTATAATGCTCTCGTTACCGAATTGAAAAGGTCTATATTATGAGTTTTTAATAAAATCGTGGAAAACTTTTAATATCGAGTGGTAAAGGAGGTAATTCCAATTTATATTTCTTTTATTTTCTTCATATAATTTTTGAGGACTTTTTTCTTTCACTTTTCTTCCAAAGAAATAGGCGATGAGTAAATTTGTAAGGTAAATGTTGGATAACTTTAACGGACTTGGAGTGTGGGTTCTCAGTACCGGACATCCGGATGTGCCAAGGCATCATCTGATTTTCAAAGGTACATAAGGTGATCTTACAATGTCAGTGTATTCCTTGTAATAAATTCTACGAGACACAAGATTGATTTAAAGATTTAATAAAATGAACCAGTTTTAAGTTTATATAATTTGAGCGTTTTACAATAACAGAATATTTTCTTTTATCATCATATTTAACTTGTTTCTTTACTTGATCATAATAAATTTTTACATCTCGTCAAATATGAGGTGCCATATAGATAGTGCTCCTACCGGGTCGGATTCGGTCAGGTTTGGAGAATATATCCAACTCGACCCGGCAAAAATAGAAATGATCCGATTTTAACCCGACCCGAGTATATTTAATTCGAATAACCCGGGTTAGACCTGAAATTTTAGTAATTTTCATTGGATATTATACTGTATGCTTAGTAATATATCAAAAATGTTTTTTCAAATATAATTTTTTCAATAACGCAAAGTAATTGATCTACAAGATGATTATATACAGTAGGTCACACAACTTTTTATTATTAAAACTAAAGCTAAGCACGAATTTAAAGATACAGTATCTTCGATTCCTATTTTATATTTGAACTATAAAATCAAAATTGTATCACTGGCTTTAACAGAAATTTGACTATATTTTAGTCTGCCAGGACTTTGAACACATTCATGCTCTAATTGTATCTTCGGTTCCACTGGAAAATACTCTTTCTACTGGAACACTGGTTGCTTTATTAATCATCAAAATCAATTTATTAGTTAATGTAATGTTAATAATTAATAATAATGATTCATACACATACCTGTAATTGCAAGGTGTCTCTAGCAATTTTCACTAAGTGAGGATATACTACCTCATTCATCTAACAAAATTATATAAACGTAATCAATATTAACGCGTAATCAATATGTGATCAGTGATTTTAATGATCATCCGGGTCTAATTCGGGTTAAAACCCGAGTCAAGGAAATGAATAACCCGACCCGATGGGTCAGGTCATGCGGGTTACAGGTTATTAAAATTGTTAGTACCGACCCGATTTAAAATTCACTCGGTTGAATTATCCGGATTAGACCTGAATTTTGCGGAGCACTACATATGGATGTGTTCTTTACATCTCCAGACGGGTATTGGTCATAATGTAACTGGTAGGTAAGGCAACGTTTAGTAACCTCAGTTGGATTGTGCTATTGGTGCTTGAGATTCTATCTATTTTTAAGTACATTAAGTTTATACTTCAAGAGGGTACGTAATCGATAAAAGTTATAGGAACCAGTGTTTCTGGAAATTGATAATTGCATAGGTAAAAAATATCGAAATAAGGAAATTGATGTTAGAGGTTTTGAAGTAGAATCGTATATTTTAGGGTAAGCATGTGGAAAGTACGCATTATTGGTGTAAATATTCTTTCTAAATGTAATGTGAAATCCTTTTATCGCATGTGATGTAAGATTGCGATGAGAAAGTCCAATGAAAAGTTTTGCAAGGTATTGTAAGGAGAAAACGACTACTTGACAGACAGAACTTAAATGAAAATGTGAACGGGCAAAAAATGATAAAATATTTTAGTAAAGTATATGAAAGTATGGTGAAGTGTGTTAAATATTATTAAAACTCTTTTGAATGTATTTGGATGTTTCTTGCTTAGAAAAAGCGTAACTCTTGTCTGTGTATTAGCCTATATATATATGGTTGGTTTTTATAGAGTATCCGTATATTGATTTTTTTTTTTTTTGGATATTCTAGGTTTAAAATGCGGGCTTGACACTAAAAGAGCTTCAATAAAAGGAGACTTGTTTGAAGCTGGTAGAATGTTTAATTGATTAAATAAAATTAGATTCAACAAGTGAAATTATTAAATAAATTTTATTGGACGGATAATCACTGCGCCATTAAGGGTAGAGAATTCTCCTTAATTTAAGGAAATGTCCAAACAATGATTCTTATTGCCAATTTTCTGTACATACTAACTTCTCACAAAAGGATGAAATTCATATGGTCAAATGCCATAGTTCCGAACTTTAATTTTTCTGTTTTATTAAAAAATTTTTTGAGAAAACTTCGTATGAAATTTTAAAGTCCTCGCGAATGTCTATGTGCTTTTGGCGAATGTGGAATAAACAATATTATTGGTTACCGTATTTTTGGTTAATTTTTGCGTTAAATAACATGTTTATGAGTGTATTTATTAATTTATAATTATAAAATTCTAAATTATATTTATTTTTTTTAGACACTTTATAGCATAAATTTGACACTTCTAAAGACTTTATAAGTTTTATTGGTAGATGGTAAAGGATTTAAAATTTAAAATTTCATTAAATGTTCATATTTTTTTGTATAGTTATGGAAGATATTAACCGTATATTTATTTTTTCTTTTTTTTTATAAATACTTTAGAAAATAATATGTACTATTACTTATTTTGAATATAATAATTAAAGTATATTATTTTGAATATTAAAATAAGATAATATTATTTACTTCTTTAGTGTTTTTTTTCCTTATTTCGTGCGTCTGTTCGTCACGTTTAAAGTGCCATACGATGACGATATTTATTGGCCAATCAAATAGTGCAACCACATTTGGGTGAAATATTTTGCCGATTTTATGTTTTGTCTTCCTAGGATAATCCGATTATCCGTTACCTAACTGACACGGCATACTCGATTACTCGAACACAATTTTTTTGAAAGGGATAATTAGAATTACTCGGCAAAACGTGCCCTCGTGACTGCGACACTATCGTGCCTTACGTACGCAGCCAATTTCACCAATCATATTGCTTATTGCAAATACAACAGTTACTCGGTACTTTACACCTTTTTTTTCGAAATGTCACAAACTTCTAACACCGAATTTATTATTCACATGTATGTTATGTGAATGGCGATCTTAATGTATTTCTATTATAGACATAAATAATTTAAATAATTTTAGGTATTTTCTATTTAATTATCCAGAAAAATAAAATTCTTTATCACTTCGAATCGAATTATGACCGGATAGCGGGATAATTTTTTTCCGATAGCATGTTTTAACTAAAATTAGAAATTTCATTTGATTATTTTTTCGGGCTATAATTTTTTCCGATGCATTGATCTGCATTGTGATTGTTTTATCAAATTATAATGTTGGACAAGAAATAATTACCAACGGAAAATTTTTTTGAAAATTTAATTTTATAAAAATTATGAATTACAGATTTACAGTGATGGTGTATGAAAGTCATATGAGCCGGTCTAAATTTAGATAGAATTTGTTTGTTCTGAACTTCGAGTTATTAATAATTTTATATTGATTTATTGTGACTTTTTTAACATTTATTTATTTAAGAACTTTATTTTTTTTTAAAAAAATAATATTTGTGTATTTGTGAGTGTACCGTGATTTTTAATTTATAATAATCATTTATTATTATATGTAACGTCACATACGGTAACCAGAAAATCCAAAGTGAAATAATTCAACTAAATTAGTATAATGATTTTATATTAATTGTTATTATTTGTGACAATCAATTTATACTCATTTATCTACAAATTTATTTGAGAAAATGCTAATAAAATTGCTTCTTATAATCAATATTAAAACCTTTAAAAAGATCAAGCTTGTTTATTTCTTTTATATTAAACATTTTTTTTTTAAAGTGATTGGGCATGACCCAATGCAGATCAGTGCACCGGAAAAACATGTCCCGAAAAAAATAGTTTTTTTTTTATTGTAATTTCTGCTTTTGGTTAAAAAACTTCCTTTTTAGTAACTCATTCATGCCTTTAAAGAATAAATTCGTCAAAAAAGAAAAAAATTGTTTTTTTCAGTATATAAATTCTTAAAATAACTAAATGGCAACTAAATTGAATAATTTAAATATCTTAGACAAAGAAACTGATACAGTAAACAATGAAAATTGTTTTTATTGCAATAAACCTTTTATCGAAGAATTATGGTGCAAAGAATGTATTAGTTCTTTTTCTTTGGAAAAATTAGTAGAAAATGGTGATAAAGTAGCAATATTTAATTTAGCCAATAAATATGGAGAAGAAGCCGAAAAGAACTTAAAAAAAGCTTTTTATTTGTATCAACATGCAGCAGAAATAAATCATATTGAAGCAATGTCTAATTTAGCCAAAAGTTATTACAATGGAGAAGGAACGGAAAAAAATTTAGAAAAAGCCTTTCACTGGTATCAAAAAGCAGCAGAAAATGGTGATGAAAAAGCAATGAATAAATTAGCTATATGTTATTATAATGGAGAAGGAACAAAAAAGAATTTGAAGAAATCCTTTAATTGGTATCAAAAAGCAGCAGAAAATGGTGTTAAAGAAGCAATGTTTAATTTAGCTATATGTTATGAAAATGGAGAGGGAACAGAAAAGAACTTAGAAAAAGCCTTTTATTGGTATCAAAAATCATCAGAACATGGTGTTAAAGAAGCAATATTTAATTTAGCTATATGTTACAAAAATGGAAAGGGAACAGAAAAGGATTTAGAAAAAGCCTTTTATTGGTATCAAATAGCAGCAGAAAATGGTAATAAGGATGCTATGAATAATTTAGCCATATGTTATGAAGATGGAGAAGGAATAGAAAAGAATTTAGATAAAGCTTTTTATTGGTATAAAAAGGCAGTAGAGAATGGTAATAAAGAAGCAATGTTTAATTTAGCTAATAGTTATTATAATGGAGAAGGAACAGAAAAGAACTTAGAAAAAGCCTTTCATTTGTATCAAAAAGCAGCAGAAAATGATAATAAAGATGCAATGTTTAATTTAACTAATAGTTATTATAATGGAGAAGGAATAGAAAAGAATTTAGAAAAGGCCTTTTATTGGTATCAAAAGGCAGCAGAAAATGGTAATATAGATTCAATGAATAATTTAGCCATATGTTATAAAAATGGAAAAGAAACAGAAAAGAATTTAGAAAAAGCATTTCATTGGTATCAAAAAGCAGCAGAAAATGGTGATTATGATGCAATGCTTAATTTAGCTATATGTTATAAAAATGGAGAAGGAACAGAAAAGAATTTAGAAAAAGCCTTTCATTGGTATCAAAAAGCAGAAGAAAATGGTATTGAAGAAGCAATGTATAATTTAGCCAATATGAATGGAGAGGGAACAGAAAAAAATTTAGAAAAAGATTTTCATTTGTATCAAAAAACATCAGAAAATGATGATAAAGAAGCAATGCTTTATTTAGCCATTAAGTATTATAATGGAGAAGAAACAGAACAGAATTTAGAAAAAGCCTTTTACTGGTTTCAAAAAGCAGCAGAAAATGATAATATAGATGCAATGAATAATTTAGCTAATAGTTATTATAATGGAGAGGGAACAGAAAAGAATTTAGAAAAGGCCTTTCATTGGTATCAAAAAGCAGCAGAAAATGGTGATAATGATGCAATGCTTAATTTAGCTATATGTTATAAAAATGGAGAAGGAACAGAAAAGAATTTAGAAAAAGCCTTTCATTGGTGTCAAAAAGCAGAAGAAAATGGTATTGAAGAAGCAATGTATAATTTAGCCAATATGAATGGAGAGGGAACAGAAAAAAATTTAGAAAAAGATTTTCATTTGTATCAAAAAACATCAGAAAATGATGATAAAGAAGCAATGCTTTATTTAGCCATTAAGTATTATAATGGAGAAGAAACAGAACAGAATTTAGAAAAAGCCTTTTACTGGTTTCAAAAAGCAGCAGAAAATGATAATATAGATGCAATGAATAATTTAGCTAATAGTTATTATAATGGAGAGGGAACAGAAAAGAATTTAGAAAAGGCCTTTCATTGGTATCAAAAAGCAGCAGAAAATGGTGATAATGATGCAATGCTTAATTTAGCTATATGTTATAAAAATGGAGAAGGAACAGAAAAGAATTTAGAAAAAGCCTTTCATTGGTGTCAAAAAGCAGAAGAAAATGGTATTGAAGAAGCAATGTATAATTTAGCCAATATGAATGGAGAGGGAACAGAAAAAAATTTAGAAAAAGATTTTCATTTGTATCAAAAAACATCAGAAAATGATGATAAAGAAGCAATGCTTTATTTAGCCATTAAGTATTATAATGGAGAAGAAACAGAACAGAATTTAGAAAAAGCCTTTTACTGGTTTCAAAAAGCAGCAGAAAATGATAATATAGATGCAATGAATAATTTAGCTAATAGTTATTATAATGGAGAGGGAACAGAAAAGAATTTAGAAAAGGCCTTTCATTGGTATCAAAAAGCAGCAGAAAATGGTAATAAAGATGCAATGGACAATTTAGTCATTAAGTATTATAATGGAGAAGGAACTGAAAATAATTTATCAATAAACAGCAAAAAGTAATAAAGTGGGTTCTAAAATGAAGTTGAATTGCATATAAATATTTTAAGCATTTGTGTTTCTTATTAATAAATTCATTTTTATTTATTCATTATATAGATGCTTGTATTCATTAAAATATTTATGAAATTTTAGAAGATATATTATCGAATATTAATTATTATAATAAAAGAGAATTTAGTAATATCACATACATAATATTAACCCCTGTAACTAACTGATCTATTCTAAATGTAAGACTAATACTAATCTAAGCTAAATCGAATATAAATAATTGATGTACCATTTGCAGTGTTTCCAGATATCTTTAATTTTGATCTTTCCATTGTGCCATCTTATTTGAAAATACCTAAAATACCTTCTACTTTTCTTGTTCAGGCCAATTGTTAAGAGGATTTCCCATTTTTTGTCCAAGAACTATATTTCCATATAATTCTTTAAATGAATATCTATTCTCACTTTTTGGTATTTTTGTTGCTTTTAATACTAATTTGTTCAACTTTCCTATACCTTTATTACAGATACTACATTTTCATATCATGCCAGTATATCATAAAACATAATGTTATTTGATACTGTTGCAAATTCTCCAGAATATTAGAATTTCTACTGGTTTTTTCATTTTTTTCTACATGAATTATTATTATTTTTTCCTCTATTAGTTCCTTTTGATTTGTGCTTTTCTGATCTAATAATTTTTCCTTTCTTGTCCTAGTTTTTGTTTTACTGTATTCAATTCTTTATTGAGAGAATCTAATTCTTTTTTCTGAATTTTTATTCATTCTTCAATGTCTGGTGTAATTGGTATCATTGCTGCTGATTTTGTACTATCTTATATTCCATAATTTTTGTTGTGCCTCTTGCAGTAGGTTTTTGTATCTCTTCACAAGTCCATAGAGTCAGTTTTACTGTTTCATTATTTAAGGCTGTAAAAGCACTTATATCTTGAAAAAACTCTGGATTTGTTTTGACTGTAGAGTATATACTATCTAGTTTTGCTTCAATTACTGCTCTTCCTATTTCTTTGAAACTAGTGATTGGAATTTCATGGGCCCTTTGAAAAAGTTTGTACTGAACTCTCTTACCTATCAAGATAAGACTCCAAGTTTTTTTCGTGTAATTAAAATATCCATTTTTTCGATGAAACAAATATTTCTTTTTTTGGAATTTGTGTAACATCATGTGACATCACATGAAAATGGATAATGGGATAGGATTTGCTGATTTGGAATTTAGGATGAGATATTCAATATTGGGATTTGGATATAAATATTCATAAACTATTACATTAACCTGAATTATTAAAAATCTAGCTGATACTTTGTATTCAAAAAAAGTATTACATTTCATTGACATCCATATTATACACAGTTTCTGGAAATCACAAGATTTAAAACCTGTGGTACAAAAATTAAAGACTATATCTTAACACATTATTATTCATTATATGGAACTACTAACCAATATCCATTCAAAAATAATAAATTAAAAAGACTGGTGCATGGGTTTATCTTTGTAAACAAAGTTGATCCATTTTTTATATTCCATCTTTTTCCTGTAAAAGCATCATATTTCCAGAATTAATAACCTTATATCACAGAATTTATCAAATTATTTACATTTTCCGTAAATAGATCTATGAAAGGCTCATTTTTACAGAATTTTTACAGAAATAACAGATAAAATTTTTTATAGGTATTGGTTTGCACTTTGCACCTTTCTAGAAAATTAGAGGTTGGAACGATTGGTTAAAATAATTTAAATCTAATTAATTAGAGGATATAATCATACAAATTGTGGCTTGAATTAATAATATGTGCAACCTTTTATAGATAATAAAAAATCTTAGCCGGAACTGTCATCATAATGGTAAGGTTATAAATAAATGAAGCATTATTATATTACACTTTCATTCTACCTTAATGAATCAAAAAATCATATTTAAACTATTGTATATAAAACTGAATAAAAAATTTTTGATGATTGATAATACAGAAAGCTATTTCAAGAAAGAATTTAATTAAACATATTATTAAAGCTCCTAACAGTTCGGGCTAAACTGGGGAACTGATCCGAAACTGGCTCAAAATTTGGTTCAGTTCGGTTCAGGTATTAGAACCAAAANATTATTAAAGCTCCTAACAGTTCGGGCTAAACTGGGGAACTGATCCGAAACTGGCTCAAAATTTGGTTCAGTTCGGTTCAGGTATTAGAACCAAAAAACTGACAGTTCGATTCAGTTTAATCCAATTTTTTATAAAAATGCAAAAAATCAAATAGCTGCCCATCTAGTGATCATACAAAGTCGAGCCATATATCATTGGATTTGTCTCAACGAGACGCGTCGAATGGTGGTAAGATAATGTCTCTAACATCAATAGATCACATTTTAACCCACGCTAAATGATTTATCAATAATTGGAATTATTAAACTATCTATCAATGCTAGAGACATGATCTTAGTGTCATTCAACGCATCTCAGTGAGACGAATCCAATGAATATAAATTTGTCCAAATACGGCCACTGGATGGCGAATAATGTCAAGTTTCGCATTTTTTTAAAATTTTCGAGCATTAAAAATTAAAAATTCCAATACATGAATTTATTCCTCGTCCAATGATTGTGCAAATATGAATTAGGACTTATTAGATTCGTCTCGATGAGACGAGTCGAATGGTGGTGAGATCATGTCTAAAGTATTAATAGATCGTAAGTTAATTCACGCTAAATAATTTATAAAAAATTGGCATTAGCAAGCTATCTATCGATGCTAGAGACATGATCGTACCACCATTCGACTCGTCTCATCGAGACGAATCCAATGAGTCCTAATTCATATTTGTACGACCATTGGATGACGAATAAATTCATGTATCAGAATTTTTAATTTTTAATGCTCAAAAATTTTAAAAAAATGCGAAACTTGATATTATTCGCCATCCAGCAGTCGTACACGAACAAATTTATATTCATTGGATTCGTCTAACTGAGACGCATCGAATGGTGCTAAGATTATGTCTCTAGCACCGATAGATAGCTTGCTAATTCCAATTATTTATAAATTATTTAGCGTGGGTTAATGTGTGATCTTTCGATGCTAGAGACATGATCTTACCACCATTCGACGTGTCTCGTCAAGAGGAATCCAATGATATATGGCTTGACTTTGTACGATCACTAGATGGCCGGCTATTTGATTTTTCGCATTTTTATAAAAAATCGGATTAAACTGAACCGAACCGCCAGTTTTTTGGTTCTAATACCCGAACCAAACCAAACCGAATTTTGAGCCGGTTTCGGATCGGTTCCTCGGTTTAGCCCGAACTGTTCAGAGCTTTACTGGAGATGCCCAAGCACTCCATGATTTTCTAATTTTTCCCATATTTGATAATTGTTCTATTTCTTTTTTTATATATTTTGTTTTATCTTCAGTTACTTTATATCTCTTTTGAGCTATTGGCTCTTTATTTTCTTCAATTTCTATTTTGTATTTTATCTTATCTGTTCTCCCTAATTTTTCACCATTATATTCAAATATATCTTTATATTCTCTTATTAATTCTTTTAATATTTCTTTTTCTTTATCACTCATTTTTCCTAATAATGTTTTCTTTTCAAATTTTTCATCATCATTTTCATTTTTATTTTTGTTTGGCATCTTTATCATCTCTCCTTTATCTAGGCCAAGACTTTCTATTTTGCTACTTCTTCATCATCTTTATCTATGATACGTAAATCATATTTTACATTATCTTCATATTCATTTTCTGAATATTCATCTTCATCACTTTCACTTTCTAAGCTTTCACTCTCTGAATTTTCATTATTATTCTTTTTATCTTTAAAGTGAACTTACTTCTTCTTTTCATAATCTATTGGTATTTCATATATTTCACCATCAAGTTCTACAACTAATAATTGTTCTTTCATATCTATTATTCCATGTTTTAATATATCTGTTCCTAAGATTAAGTCTTTTCTTTTTGAATCTATTACTTCAACTTCTAGTGTTAATCCTAGTTCATCATCAATTTCTATATCTATTTCTGCTATTCCTAAAGATGCTATACTCTTTCCATCTGCTATTGTTAATATTACATTACTTTTCTTTATTATTGGTATATTTAATTCTTTTCTTAATTTATTCATTATTGTGGATGGTCCTGCTCCTGTGTCAACTAATGCTCTTATTGCTTTTCCATTTATTATTACATTACATCTAGTAGCTTGAGTTTTCTCCTCTATTTACTTTATTTCTTTCTTTGTTTCCCCTGAGTGTAGTAAATATTTCAAACCACCCTTAATTGTTTTCTAACATTAGGCCTCTCATTTATAAGCTGTGCCCAGGTGATATTTGCATTGAAATTCATAAATGCTTTTACTGGCTCAAATTCTTCAACATTTGGTACTCTACGATTTAATTTTACTTTTTCATTTACACATTCTTTAGTATAGTGTTCTATCTAGGGATGGCAATGGTCATAGTTATTAACCGATCATAACCGGTTATGACCATGACTGATAATAGTCAGTCAAAGGCTTCTGACCAACCATTTAACTGACCAGTTTGACTGACTGTTTGACTGACTGTTTAACTGACAGTTTTAACTGATTATTTAGCTTTTTTTTTAATTATTTAACCTTTTTTACGAACTTAATCAATAAAAAAAGCTAAATAGCATTTTTTTTTGATTAAATTATACTTTCTTCTTTTTAACAAATTTTAATCAAGAAAAAAACATTAAAAAGTGATCAGTTAAACAGTCAGTTAAATGGTCAATTAAACGATCAGAAAAACGGTCAGCCAAAATGGTTGGTCAGTCAAAGGCCCTTAACTGGTTATGACTGACCGATAACTGACCATGACTGACCGTTGTCACCGATACCTGCCACATATCGGCAGATTAATACTTATACTCAGTTCAATATTATGCTTAGTTTAGATTTTATATTCTATTAACTTCTCATTCTCTTTCTTTTATAATCTCATAAATTTCACTTTCAAACTGCGAGAGTTCTCTCATTTTAAATAAACTTCATATAATAATTAAACTATTAATTCTCAAGCATACAATGAGCATATTCAAAATAACTTTTAATAATTAATTTTTCTTCTTATTATTATGAGTCAAATTTTTATGACTGCAGAATTCCTAATGAATTCCACTTGTATTTATACATTTTAAGAAAATCATTTCTAATATCTACTAACTTTTTCTAATAAAAATTTAAGAAAATACTAAGAAAATAAAAGGTATATTATCATATGACTATCTCATGACTAAACTAAACTATAAATATTAAAATAATAAAATAAAATTCTGGTATATAATTAACAAAAATAAAAATACAAGTAAAAGCCATGAAATATGCAATTGAAATTTAAATTACCGAAAGAAAAATTAGAGAGAATTAAAGATAAGTTAAGTACAGAAGATAATATTAAAATAGATATTTATAATGAAAAGGATGTAATAATTGAAAAATGGCATATTACATATGAAATAATAATAAAAGAAATTAATAAGAAAGAATGCGAATAGGAAAAGTCGAAGAAATAATAAAAGAAGTAAATAATAAAGTTGAAGTAAGTAATAATAATATTTATAGTAACGAAGGAGAAATGGATACTGACAAAGATATTAGAGAAAATGATGACAGTAATCACAAAGAAAATGTAACAAATAATGAAGATGATACTAGTAGTGAAGAATATAGATCAGGGATAAATAAAGAAGAAATTGAAAAGAAGTAGTAATGGAAAGATCAAAAGCATTTTATGAATTATTAAAAGACCTTAGTGTATCAACAGTAGAAGAATCACTAGAAAGTGAAGAAAATGATCAAGAGGTGATGTTAGAAAGATTGTTTACTAAGGCAATAAAAGCGGAACAAGAAGCAATAAAATGTTGGTATAATGTAGGAAAAGCTGTTAGAAACAAAGTTGAAGAAGAAAGAAATAAATTAGAAATAAAAGAAAAGTCAATAAGAACTAAGATGTATAATGAGTTAACGAAAAGACTAAAAGGATTTATCAGAAAAGTGATACAAAGTAAGATTGAAAGATCTGAAAGAGTTTACAAATTATTTAAGGAAATAGGAGGAAGAAGTAAAATAAATAGGATGAAAAATACCAGCATGAATACAATAATAAACCTTAAAGAAAAGAAAGGTGAAGTTGATGAATTAATGAGACAAGTAAATGAAATAGAAGAAGAAAAAAATAGTATGATAGAAAGATAGGGATTAAAGATTTAAAATGAAATTATAAAAAGGGTAAATTTGTACTATAAAAAGAATATGAGGTATATATATTTTAAGAAATAGTACAAAAGATTAAAATGGAGATACCAATATTTTATGGTGAAATAGGAGAAGATCCAAAAGAATGGACAAATCAAGTAGAAAAATATTTGTCAAAGATAGGAATTAAAGACGATAAAAGAATATTTGAAATCGCAAAGACACACCTATTAGGAAATGCATTGCAATGGCTTGAGAATGAAGGAATGTGTATTGTAAATTGGAATAAAAATGAGATTAAATGGTTGAATTTGAAATTTAGAATAATTGATAAATATTCAAGTAATAATAGAAGTTGAGTGACTGATTATTATAAAAGTAAAGGAAAATGAATAATAATGACAAAAATGAAATAATAATAAATCAAATAGCAAGTTCTGAACAAGAAATAAAATAAGAACTGGAACAACAATGTTTGAAAATATATTAGGAAAAGGTTTTATCAGAATAAACAGTAAAGTAAAATGTAAATATTGTAAGAAAATAGAAGAGGTAACATTAGAAGAAATTAATTATTTCGAAGTTAGAGAGGAAAGTGAAGAAAGTTTAAGAAATAAAATAGAAATGTTATGTAATGAGTACTTTCAGAAAGGAATGAAATATCTTAATGAATATGAAGAAAGATGTGAACACAAAGATATGAATATTTCACAAATGGGAGAATGTAAAATAACTGCATATAGGAATAATCAGAAAATATATGAACAGACAGAATATAAAAATTGAAAAAGTAAGAAGAACGCTAAAGGATAAAATAAGTGTCTAAAAAATGTTAAAAGATAATGATTGAAATAAAAAGTTATTATAAGAAGGGTAATAAATGTAATGAAATTAAGTGGTTAAGATTGGAATATAGGCTAATTGAGAAATATTTAGATAATAAGAATTAAAGGACAAGTAGTTGTCTGAAAAGACATTAAACTAATTGAAGATTAATAAAGTTAAAAAATATTAAGTATGAGTAATAGAATGTGCTGTAATAAAAGATGTAATAAAAAAATGTAATAGGAAGTTACATACACAAAAATATAAAGAAATAAAGATTGAAATAATAAATGAATAATTACTATATGAATAAAAATATAAATAAACTAAAAATATGAAATGAAATCATTTTGCAAGTAAATAAGTAAATAAAATAAGTTAAAATGTCTGATATATATGATGAATTAGAAGAGATTAAGAATAGACATGAAATAGAGAAACACGAAGGGTCTACTTGATATTCTATTATGTCTAAAATGTTATAGTACTGATGAAATAGAGATAGGAGATTGGTTTAAAAGATTTTGGAAAATTTTTCAAAAGGTAATACTGGAAGCAATGAGTTATAATAAAAACACATATGCAAAATTAATGGAATACATAATATTGTCAAGAAAGGATGGAGAAGAAAGTTATCCATCTAGTAAAAAGAAAAGAAATAGAAAATTTGAGAAAATGAGAAAAGAAGGAGAAAAACTGTTGGATATAGTTGTAAGGTCAATTAGGTATAGAAATAAATCAGATTATAGAAAAATAGGAATTATATCAGTAATAAAAGTGATATGTGAACATTATATACTTAGTGAAGATAATGAGTTCATATTAGATGATCAAAAAGAGGAGAATTTATTAGCGAATAAAGAATTGTTGACATATAGATATATCATAGAAGATGATGAATTAGATATAAGACTTGCAAAATTTGAAGAATGGTTAGAAGAAATAGAATCAATAACTATCAAGAAAAAAGGATATAGTACTATGAGATATTTTAAAAAGATATTACATTTGGAAGAAAATATAGCAGAAGAAGAAAATAGAGAGGAAGTTAAAAAGTTTCAGAAAAGTATAACATATCAATGGTGGGATTAGGGATGGCAATGGTCACGGTCATTAACCGGTTATGACTGGTCATGACCGTGACTGATATCGGTCGGTCAAAGACCTCTGACCGACCATTTGACCGACCGTCTGACCGACCGGTTAACCGACCATTTGACCGACCGTTTAACCGATCCTAAAAACGTTTGTGAAACGTAATTTAATAAAAAAAATGTTTCACAAACATTTTTTTAATTATTTTAATAGAAAATGTTGCGAAAATGTTTTTTATTAAGTATTTCAATTAAATTACGTTTCGCAAACATNAAAAAATGTTTTGCAAACATTTTTTTAATTATTTTAATAGAAAATGTTGCGAAAATGTTTTTTATTAAGTATTTCAATTAAATTACGTTTCGCAAACATTTTCAGGATCGGTTAACCGGTCGGTCAAACGGTCGGTTAACTGGTCAGTTAGACCAGTCGGTCAACGGTCAGTCGGTCGGTCAAAGGTTCTTGACCGGTTATGACCGACCGATGACCGACCATGACCGACCGTTGCCATCCCTAGGTGGGATGGAAATAATTACCCAAAACCATGGATAAATGATGATGTGACAGATAAGATAATAGAGAAAATTGTAGAAACAAAAGGTTTTGTTGAAGAATATAGTGATGTAGGAGAACTAGAAAGTTCAGATGACATGGGAGAGTCAAGTTCAAATGAAGGAAACAAATATATAGAGAAAATATATAGAAACTAGCCCGTAGGCCCGGGCATTGCATCAGGTTTGTCAACGTTGATGAAATTTTGAGGTTTGGTTTATAATAAATAATTATAAAGTTAAATTAGATATTTTATTATAAATAAATTATAAGAATATTTTTTTAAATTCAAATAAATTTAGTATTATTTTCATATAAGTATAAAAATATTATTTGGAACTGTGAATTTTATTGTTTTTTTTTATTATATAAATTTAATATTATTTAATTCTAATCATATTACTTTCACCCTAAACTTGGTAACTACGTACCTTCCCTAGTTCTAACAAAAACTCTAATCTAATCCTAACCCTAACTATCATTCTAATTCTAATTTCAACTTAACCTAACCCTAACCCTAACCCTAATCCTAACTCTTATCCTAACCTAATCCTAACCTAATCCTAACCCTAATTCTAATAGGACCCCAAAAAATACATAAAAAGGTCACATTTGAGTTTGCTTAAAAAGAACCTAAATTTTCATGAAAATCTTGCCTTTTTTAGATAATGCTGGCCTAAATTTTATTGTCCATTTTGATACAGGCTAGCATTATCATAATTCCGGCCCTGAAAAGTTGCTTATTTTAGGCCAAAATCTTGCCGATTATTTATGACTTCCATATGTATTTTTCGGGGTCCTATCCTAACCCTAACCATAACCTTAACCTTAACTCTAACTCTAAACTTAACTTTAAACTTAATTTTAATTCTAATTTTTACCATATTTGATATTACCTACTAATATAATTAGTGAAATTAATTTTTATTGGTATAATGTATTATGCAAAATATCATCTGAACTGTTTTGCAGTTCAGATAATATTTTGCATAATAAATTATACTAATGGTAATGCAAATAATATTTTATAAATTATATCAAATATATACTTTTTATTTTATAAATAGAATTTTTATATATACCTGATCTATTAATATAAATAATTTTAGTAAAATTTTAATATTATTTTTTAATTGAATACATATTAATATTAAAGAATTTCTCTATATACAATATTTTTTGTGTAAACTCCTGGTCTATTATCATTACAAATATTATTTACCAAGATTATAATATTATCTTTTGATTGAACTCTTGATAAAGCTACATATAATTGGCCATGTGTAAATACAGGATTGTGTAAATCCAATCCTATATATGGAATGGTCTGTCCTTGAGCTTTATTAATTGTCATGGCAAAAGCTAAGCAAATTGGAAATTGGCGGCGAATTAATTGGAATGGCAGATCAGCATCTGATGGTGCTATTCTGATTCGAGGAATAAAAACTCTTTTTCCAAGGTGGGAGCCAGTTATAATTTCAGCATCTATTACATGACGTTGAAATCTTCTAACTATAAGTCAAGTACCATTGCAAAGTCCTTCAATTGGGCTAATATTTCTTAATAATATTATAGGTACTCCAATTTTAAGAACCAATCTGTGAGGAGGAGTTCCATTTGGTGTTAAAGTATTTAAAAATTCTACAGAATAAAGATTTTCATAAACTGAATTTTCATCTTCAACTGAATATGCATATTTATCATTCATAATATTTCTCCTTCCATTACTTCAACTTCTGCTCCTTCACATATTTTCTGTATTCTTTTTACTCTTAGTTCTGTTTCACTAACATCATTTTCCTCTCTCTCAGAACAACTTTTACATATTTCTCCTGTAAATTCTTTGTTGTATTTTACTGCTTCTTTCTTCAGTATCATTTTGTTACATAACGGACATTCTGTGGCATTCATAGTATACCATCTTCTAAGTTCTCCAATTATTTCTTCATCATCTAATTCCTTAATTTTCATATAGCTCTCCATAAAATCCTTAGTTTTCATTATTTCATGTTCCACTCTGAAATTTATTATTCGTCTTATTTCTTCAACATCAATTTCATAACCGTTTTCTAACCAATAATTTCTGTATATTCTTTCAATATGTTCATCTCCTTCATTTGAACTTGATTCTCCTAAATCATCTGAACTTTCTAGTTCTCCTACGTCACTCTGTTCTTCAACAAAACCTTTTGTTTCTACAATTTTCTCTATTATCTTATTTGTTAAATCATCGTTCATCCATGGTTTTGGATATTTATTTCCATCCCACCATTGATATGTTATACTTTTCTGAAACTTCTTGATTTTCTCTCTATTTTCTTCTTCTGCAATATTTTCTTTTAAATGTAATATTTCTTTAAAATTTCTCATAGTACCATATCCTTTATTCTTAATAGTTACTGATTCTATTTCTTCTAACCATTCTTCAAATTTTGCAAATCTTATATCTAATTCATCATCTTCTATAATATATCTATATGTTAACAATTCTTTATTCCCTAACAAATTCCCTTCTGTTTGATCATCTA